TAGAGGATTACTGGTATTTGGTGGGGATATGTTATTTTGGTTTTTCATGTTATTATTTTTTCTCTGTGATTTTGACGTGAATTTCTTTTGTAGTTTCTGATTCTTGTGTGAGACTCAAGCCTTCAAGTTTAGGTCTACTTCTTTTTTGAACTTTATGTGTCTTTGTGGTTTACTTTTTGGGCATGAAAAGCTGGTTTGTCTAAGCTTCTGGTTCTCTGTCTTGATTTTATGTTGGAGTCGCCGGATTGATTTTGTCTTCAGGAGTTCCCACAGAGGCCCAATTCAGATGAAGGTCAGATGATTTCAGGCTTTCTCCTAAGGTCTGGATCCCTCAAGGACCGATTTTTGCCTCAGGAATTTGGTGGTTAGACTGGCCTGGGAGCCTGACCCAGAAAAGATGCTAGTCTAGGGCAGCTGTTGGCTGTGCCACCCAGAGTTGCAAAGGCAGATGGGAAGAGGCCCCAAGGCCTCCTGGGGACTGCACTGAGGAGCTGGGTTGGTCTGGATGCAAAGGATAAGGAAGAGGAATGGTCAGCTCCCAAGTCCAAGAAAGAGGTTGGCAGGTGGTGCAGTCCCAGGGAAGCAGGGGGAGGTGAGGGTGGACCAGGTCCAGAAGCCGTGCTCCTGGGGCCCAGAGAAGACACTAGGTTGGTTTTGATGAAAAGGGTCAGGAAGCAGTATTGGTTCCCCAGGTGTCTGTGGCCCCCAAGACAAGGAATGCGGCAGGTTCCAAACTATGAGGAGAAAAGGGCCAGGGAGATGGGAGGGTGAATGGGGCTGGGGCAGTCAAGGCGAGGAGGGTGCGATGGACTTACCCTGGAGAGACGCCTGCAGGTGGGAGAGAGCAAAAAGTAAAATATTTTTTAAACAAAGAATAGATCACATCATTGAGGTGAAATCTTCTGGGTAGTATTTTTAACACACTAAAGCTGTGGTCCAGAGGGGCCAAGGCTGCATCTCAAGGAGGAAGCAGAACTTGGTAACCTGTTAGAGTCTTCCATGAGGTGCTGGCTTTGGCAGCATGAAAGCTATAGTATTGAAGGGGTCATGTAGAGAATCTGAGGCTTCACATTGTGTGAGGCCAAGAGAGGCCATTGGAGAATGTGCAGCCTCATTTGCAGTGGAGACACTAGCATACTGGAGATACCAGGATCATAGGATTACCACCAAGGATATTGGCACGTGAAAAATGGAGCTGGCCTGAGACTATTGGACTAGTTGTGAGGTTGTACATGACAGAAATGTAGAAGGAGTTTCCCAAGCCTTTAGGAGCCCAGAAGCTCATGAGTGAATACCAGATGTGCATGCTGAACTATTTACAATTTGGTTTGGTTTTGCTTTGGTCTGATTGAGCCCTGGGTCTTCTTTCTTGGGATAAGAAGCAATGAGCTTGTTTTTTTTTTTGTTTTTTTGTTTTGTTTTGTTTTGTTTTTTGTTTTTTTGTTTTTGTATTTTACAAGAGCCTACAGTTAAGAGACTTTGAATGATTTCAAAGAGACATCAAACTTTTAAAGTGTAGGAATTTTTAGAGCGTGGCACTTTAATGTTATACTATGCTTTATATTGTAATATTACTAATGCAAAATCTTAGGAGCAAGAAATGGAAGGTTATTTTTTTA